GTCTCTAGTTATAACTCTAAGGTATAGCCTTTTGCATAGAGCCTATTTGCTATTGTATCAGAAAAGCCAAGTGTTTAAGCCATTCCTCAGCTGATTCATTACAATAATCATGATGCTATCAATATTTTGGAATCTTTTCCTTCTCATCTGCTTTTCTGATGATATGATACACCTAAGAGCAAATCCCACCTTTCCAGAGTTTGTACCCCCAAGAGCTGACTAAGAAACTTCCAGTCCTCAAAACTATGATCATTTATAAAACCAAGTTGGAACTTAGTACAAGCATGAGTTTAGTTAATGATTTATAAGACTAAATAGATTTCAAAATATAGAGATTTTAAAATATAATCTTAAACTATAATTACAGGAGTATATTTCCTATTTTCCCTCACAAACTCTAGAATTTATTTCTCACCCATCTCAGGCTTTTCTACAAAAGTCTTGTTATGAATGGTTTCAAATATTTTGCAAAGAGGCAAGTCACGAAGGGTCCAATCTCAAAACCAAGCAAACAAGTAAATTAATGCCTAGGACAAGCTTTACTCTATGTGGGACAGTTAGCTGTTGTGAGCCTCCTCTCTAGTCCCATATTCCTTGCACATGGATCACCCCAGTATTTCCAGGCTGCCCCAGAGCCACCTGCAGACACTGCCACCCCCAAATACCACTTCCGTAACAGAAGGAAAAGCCAGTGACTTTGATCTCCCTTGCCCTCATCACTTAGCATAGTGCCAAACACAAAGAAGTTCAATAAATGTGGGCTAAGTAAATAACCCAGAAGAAGGAACTAAAAACTGTATACACAGGAAGATACACATAAAATAAAAAGAAATATCGCCAGTGTAAGTAGCCTGCTTGCTAGCAAGTACGGTAGAAAGAGGAATATCGCATCCAAGAAAGTGTTGTCTATTTAAAACAAGTCATGCGAAGGCTTGAAAATCACTGCTAAAAGACAAGAAAAGTATGAGGAGTCCTAGAGAAAGCACTGGACAATCTCTGTGCCTTTACCCTTCCTCTTTTCCCCACAGCAGTCTGCAAAGGCTCCCTACCCACCCTCCCCTCCCCGGGGTAACTCTCCAAGTGCACTCTTCTCTCTTGGCCTTTGGCCCTGTTCCCTTGTCTGCCCATTCTCTCTCTTCCTATCTGCTGTTGCCCCAGCTGCCTATGGTTCCCTAAATTTTAAATATAGTCAAGGTCTCTGCTGAATTCCATCGCACTCTCTCTTCACTGCCCAATTGCTTGCAAGGTTCATTTCTGCAGCCTCCCCTGTCTTCTCTTCTGCTCCCTACCGCATGGCTCATCACCTGATCCTGGTGTTCTCTTGCCTTCAGCTCAACTTCTGGATCTAATTCCCCATCACCGTTGTCTTGAATATAAAGACAAATCTTTAAATGTCCCCCAAACCTATTAATATCTTTTCCAGTAATGTGAGCTAAGAACAGGCATTCCAAAGAAAAATAAATAAATAAACCTCGAAAGGAAGCCATCTCTCTCCCATTTATAACTGCCGGTGGGATATCTGGGCAAGGCCCCTCAATAAATAAACCTGATTGGCTACCTCTCATAACCAGCTCAGTGCATCTCCTCCCCTTCCACTGTCCCCAGTTATTTTCCTAAACCCTCTCTATTGTCTTGGCATTGTTTCTAGTTCTAATGTAATATATAGGTCCTTGTTACTTCTCATTTGGTCTACTGGGTATCCTCGCTTCTAGCATCTCCAAATTCTGATCCATCCTAAACTTCAAGCCCTTCCTCAAAAGCCTCAGTTATTCCTCAACAACCAAATCAAATTCAAACCCACCTAGTAATTTCTGAACCCCACATTCATGCTAGCCCCATCTTTCTGGTTCTTTCTACCACTACCATCTCTTACCATAGCAAATGCATAGCTCTGACACCAGAACCTAAAATCTTGGCTCTGCTACTTACAAATCAGGTTACCTTGGGCAACTTCTTTACCTTCTATATCTCAGGTTCCTCATCCACAAAATGGGGATAATAATGTAGCTATTTATATGTTAGTTTTCTGTGATGATAATTAGGTTAATGATATAAGGGTTTAATAGGTATCTGATGCATAGTAAGTATCCAATAAACAATAGCTCTTACTGTTATTAGTCACGTGCTCTAGAAACTCTCAGCAGCCCTCTTTCACATACAAATGATGTTTTGCCAAATGTACTTCTACACATGCTGTTCCCCTTGGTCCCCAGTTCAAAAATCCTACCTAGCCTTCAAGTCCCATCTCAAACAACATTTCTATTAAGACATATGGCCCCTAGGGAGTCACTTCTATCAGAGTGATTTACCTTTGTGGGTATTCTTATCATGTGCCAGGCACTCTGTGCATATACTGAAATTAGACAGGGTCTTGCCCCAGAGGCATAATCTAGTGGGGAAGCAGGTTGTTTTCTCCCTCCCGGGTTAGCACTCCAAGACCATGTCTTCCTCAGCTTTACATTCCTACCAAGTCTTCCTGGACAAACCTATGCTTATTATATATTTTATTAGAGTGTAGTAAAATTGGTATTTTTAATTTGTGAGAATGAAAAAAATATAAATTACCATATAGTAACCCTATGCCTAACATTTAGGAACTGCCAGTGTTTTCCAAAGTACCAGCACCAATTTATCTTCCCACCAACAATGTAAGAGGGCTCCAATTTCTCTGTGTTCTTGCCAATACTTTATACTATCTGACTTTTTGATTATAGCTATCCTAGTAGGTATGAAGTGATAGCTCATGGTTTTGATTTGCATATCCCTCATGACTAATCATGTTGAGAATTTTTTCACATGCTTATTGGCCATTTGTCCATTTTCTTTGGAGTAATATCTATTCAGGTCCTTTGCCCTTTTTTTAAGTTGGATTATCTGTGCTTTTATTATTGACTGGGAGAAGTTCTTTATATGTTCTGGATACAAATCTTTATGAGATCTATGATTTGCAAATATTTTCTGCAATCCTGTGGATTATATTTTAACTTTCTTGATGTTGTCCTTTGAAGCACAGAAATTTTTAATTTTGAAGAAAATATTTAATATTGATGGAACATCTATTTTTCTTGCCCTGTTTAAGCTTTTGCTGTTCTAAGAATATTTTGTATAACTCAAGATCACAAAGATTTACTCCTTTGTTTTCTATTGTTTTATAATTTTACCTCTTACATTTTGGTCTATGTTCCATTTTGAATTAATTTTTAGTATATGGTGTCATGAGGTCCAACTTCATTCTTCTGCATGTGATACCCAGTTATTCCAGGACCATTCGTTGAAAGGACTAGCCATTCCCTATTGAATTGTCTTGCTATTTTTGTCGAAAATCAATTGGCCATAATGATCTTTATGCCAATCTAACATCTTGGTTATTATAATTTTGTAGTAAATTTTGAAATTGGGAAGTCTGAATCCTCCAACTTTGTTTTTTTCAAGAGAGTTTTTACTATTCTGGGTCCTTTGCACTTATATATGAATTTTAAGACTTTTTAATTTCTTCAAAAACAGCTTGTTGGAATTTTGATAGGGATTGTGTTTAACCAGTATATTATTTAGAGATTGTTGACATTTTAACAATATAATTTCTTCCAATCCATGAAAATGGAATGTTATTCCATTTGTTTAAGCTAATTCAATTTCTTTCAACAATGTTTTCTGGTTTTCAGAGTCCAAGTTTTTCACACCCTTTTTGTTAAATTTATTCAGAAGTATTTTATTCTTTTGATCTATGGTAAATGCAACTTTTTTCTGAATACCATCTTTGAATTGTTCATTGCTGTAAAAACTGATGTTTTATATTGATCTTATATCTTGAAATCTTGCTGAACTAGTTTATTAGCCCCAATAGTGTTTTACTTGATTCCTTAGGATTTTCTAAATATAAGATCATGTCATTTGCACATAGAAATAGTTTTATTTCCTTTATAATCTGAATGCCTTTTATTTTTTTTTCTTGCCCAATTGTCCTGGCTAGAACCTCTAGAACAATATTGACTGGGACAGTCAACATCTTGTCTTATTGTTGATCTTAGCTGTGAAAAAAAATTCAATTTTTCACAATTAAGTATGATGTAAATTTTTCATAAATTGACTTTACAGTTTGAGAAAATTCCTTTCTAGTCTTAGTTTGTTGAGTGTTTTTTTTCCTGAAAGGGTGTTAGATTTTGTCCTTTGCTTTTTCTGACTTAAGATGATCCTGTGTCCTTTCTTCTACTGACATGGTGTATTACATCAACTGACTTTCGGTAAATTAATCTTGCATTCCTGGAATAAATCTCACTTGGTCATGGTGTGTAATCCTTTTTATGTGTTACTGGATTGGATTTGCTAATATTCTGTTGAGGGTTTTTATCTATATGCACAAGAGCTATTTGTCTGAGTTTTCTTCTGATGTCTCATCTGGTTTTGGTATCAGGATAATACTGGCCTCATATCATGAGTTGAGCAATGATCCTTCCTCTTGTTTTTCTAGAAGACTTTGTGAAGAATTTATATTAATCCTTCTTTACGTAGTTGGTCATATTTTAACTTTTTCAATTTTTCTACTTTAAAAAATGCAATTCTGATAGCATCCCCAACAGGAGGAAATGAATGTCTACCCTTTCACTCTGTAATCCTGAAACTAATCTATGGGACCTATGATCCACGTTATTGTCAAAGTTTGACTTACAGGAAAGAGAAAGAACTTCAATTCGTCCTTTAAAAAAAATTTTTTTTTTTTTTTTTAAGTAGAGGAACTTCCATCAGCGTGAGCTGCTTCTCCTGTCTCCTGAGCTCTCTTCTATTACACGACCCCTCTCAAATGCGGGGTTCGAGCCAGGTGTGAGCAGATCTGTTCGGCGACACTAAGGATGACATGTGGCTGATTCCACTTCCATCAGCGTCTGGAGAGGGAGGGGGTTGGGCCCAGAGGGTCTCCCGGGGCGGGGCGGAGGAGGAGAGAATGCAAAACAGAGCCTCGCCCCTGACACCCACGGAGCAGCAACGCCCCTCGCTATAAATTCGGAGCTGCAGCGTAGCTCATGATTCCAGCGCTCGTCAGTCAAGGCCCCGGGCAGTGGGCGACAGGGCGCCTGGGCAGACGGACCGCTAGCAGCTCTGCCGTACCCGCACGGCGATCGATGGGGAGCAGCCCCGGCGCACCCCGCGAGTGAGGGCGCACTGCCGGGGCGCCGAGGCGGCGCGCGGAAGCCCCGCACCAGCGCTGCCAGGTCCCGGCCCGACGTGGGCGCAGCGTCCGCGGCGCGGGTGAGTCTGCGCCGACCGCCCGGCCAGGCTTGGGGACTGCAGGGCGGGGGTGGTCAGTTTGAAGTCCAGGGATCCTAACTGCGGGAGCTGTCCTGGGAGGTTCACGCGGACCAAGGAGACACAGCTCTTATTTCCCGGTCGGCGCATCCTGGGGGACTGGCAAGCCCTTCCCCAAATCAGATGAGGGAAGTCTGGGCTGGGATAGAACAATTTGATATCGTTTGCCCCAGAAATTTAATTACCATTTGACTAAACTTTTTCGAGTTACCCTATCAAGAAATGTGCAGAAATGGGATGCAACCAGTAAACTTTCTTCCGAGGCTTTTAGCTAACTCTTGTCTTTTAACAGTGATGACCTGAGTAGAAAGCTGGTATGACTACACGGGGTTTCCATTTATAAGTTGTGCTACTTCTAAAATGAAGTTGAGTGTCCCCAGCCTCCCTCTCTGCTTTACAGGTGATGCCCCAGCATCTCTCATCTCCCCCTTACCCCTGCCCGCAAACCATACCGGTGGGGCCTTGGCACCAGGCGCTGCTCCGACCTGGGTCAAACTCTCCTGTCTTCTGGTGTTCCCAGGTGTCCCTGGAGTCATCAAATTGGGCTGGAGAGAAGCCTGAACGACTCCACAAACCAAGGCCCACAGGCCTCCTGGCCAGTGCACATTTGTAACCAAGGAGGGATTTTAGAAGCCCTGGCTGGCTCCTTCCCTCCCCTCTACTTCTCTGTCTAGCACCCCATTCTCCAGTTCTCTTAAACACCCAACCCAGTCTCTTCACAGAGCCAACCTGTTACTTCTTCCTAAAGACCTCAACAAGTCTTTCCCAAAACATATCTTGCCCTATTGTCTTTGGACAGCCACTAGAGACCTGGCGATGTTACCCATCTGAAGCTTCTTACCAATTCTTTGTTTGTTGAGGGCCTCATTAAATATTCAAACCCCACTACAGGCCCTCAGAAGCCCTCAGTTCTTGGTGGAAGTTTGTGTGTTCACTCTCCCCTGGGATCACATTTGGGATTTGGTTGCATTTATTGCTAGTGTCATTCAGAGAAGAGAAAATAACAGTGAGAGAGACAAGAAATCTGGCATTCCATGTTTTATCACTTTATTGAGCAACTTGTATCCCCTCCTAAAGGTTCCTCCTCCCTCAAGTGATTATCTTGGTAGTTAAATCTGCAGGTCCTGGATCCCCAGGTATTTATTCCCTTAGCATAAGCTGTAACCCCGTTACAAGACACTGCCTGCCTTCCTTGTCTCCTATACTGGCTCTCAAGGCCCACGTGGGTAATCTTTCGTCAGGCAGCTGGGCGTCCCGCCACCCTTCCTGGCAGACAGTGCAGGGGCAGGGAAGCCCATGGGGCAGGGAACAGAGACTCCCACTTAGCTGGCTATGTGCTTTTAGAATTATTTCACAGTTCTGAACCTCAGGTGCCTGCACATAAGGTTTCCTCCAGTGATAGAATTCCTTGATATCTTTTGTTTTCTAGTTAACTGCTTAAAAAAATAATTACCCTTTTAGCCCTTGATTGGGATACTCAAAACCATTGCAATAACTCTCTGGAAAAATTACCTGCTCTGGAAAACCATTAGGTTTCAGTGCTGGCTCTAAGCATCCATCCCCCAGATTACAGTTGGTAGTTCCTGTAACTTGGCTAAAAGCTCAGGGAGGGGCCCCAAGTTCCTAGATCTCAACATTTGATAAAGTTTCATGATTATTAATGTCAGGTCTGTTATCTACTCTGCCTGTCCCTTTTTTTCCTGACTTCATTGTTCTTTGTGCCCATCATGAGGCCTTGATTTCTGGTTTGGCTTCTCTTTGACCTTAAAATGAATCAACTGATCCACCATCCAACTCAGAAGAAAACTGGTTTTCTTCCACTGGGTCCACTGATGCCAAAAAAGACTTATTTTCCTTAAGATTTATAAAATGTCTTCAGTCACTGTTGCTTTGGCAAAGCTCCCCATCCCAAATTTCTGAGCTTAAATCTTTCCCATCCCTCTCTAACCCTGGTTAAGTGTTCAAAGAAGGACAAATCTGTCGACTGTTTGGGTGTTTCTTCTTGCTTTTCCCTTTTCTCTAATTGGAGGTGAGAATTGCATGTGTACATATATAATTTTGTAGGGGGGCGGGGTTGTTTTTGTTTTTGTTTTTCTGCTGCTCTTGTTGTTATTACCATGAGTAATTATTTGGCCTATGCTAGAGGGAAAATAATGAAAGGTTTAGTCTGCTGCTTACCCGAAGCCCAGGTAAAATCCTCAGCTACAATGGAGTTTGAAATGTTACATACCTGATGCATGTCTCCTATAGTTTTATCTGTGCTGTCACTATGTCCTTTTTAAGCAGATAATTGAGAGTTGCTGTATTTTGCTTTCAAATTTGTTAGAGGGACCGAGCCCAAATCGTGCCCCGGCACACTTGATGTTTTGGCTGCCTGATGCAGGCTCCCGGCCTTTAGCCCCATGCTCATTAGTTTACCTAGTCCTTGCCCTCTCAGTCACGACTGGGCAATGCCAGAAAGTCTCCCAAGTAGGCTAACAAATTAAGAATTTTATTTAGAGGTGTGAAGTAAATCCAAGTGTTGTAAAGATTAAAAAGCTTTCCTGAAGACACATTGTAGCAATAAATAAATATAAAGCCAGAGCAACAAAATATGACCAAGTATCCAAGGTCGGCTTAGCAACACTTTTCTCCGAAGTTGTCCAGCAAATTGGACAAATTAGCTTTTAAACCTATCGTCACTGGAAAGTACTATTATTTTTCTTCAAAATAGTTCTGTTTCTCTTTCAAAATTGTCTAAAGTCATTGAATTACATGGTTTGTGTTTCTTTTAATATAGATATTTATTAAAACAATATTCCAAAGTTCTCATAAGCAAAAGAAAATTTTTGTAAACAGGAAATTTTTCCCATTTCCAGCTTAAATTTAGCTATCACTTTATATTTTCTATTTGTAACAGGAAATTTTTCCCATTTCCAGCTTAAATTTAGCTATCACTTTATATTTTCTATTTTATTCATGATATGAATTTTAGCTACCAAAAATCAACTTTTCAGTGGCTTAAACCATGTTAAATGAAGCAGTGTCTAGAGGGATTTAAGGTAATATTAAGCTGACTTGGCAAATGACTATTATCTATTAAAGCTCTAAAATACATCTAAACTAAATACATCTAAAAAACAACTAAAGAGCTATAAGTTTGCACAATATTTATTAGTAGTTATTTTAATGACAAGTTTGAGAACTGGATATAGAAAACAAAGTATGTATTTCAAGCAGTCATAGAAGTGACAAGTAAATCTTGCTTTTAGGTGTGGTCACATTAACATTGAAAGTTTTGCTACCTGATTCTGATTCTTTCTCTTCCTAGCAGATGATCACATGGGGTAAAAATTCCCTTAAGCATGAAAACCAAAACTGTCTTTCAAAATATTTACTAACAAAGAATTCACTATATACTATAAATGCTGTATGACTGCTTTATTTTACATTATTCTTATAGCTCAATTTAGAAGAGATTGTTTTTGTTTGGTTTGGTTCCTAAATAACATTTGGATGGCATAATCCAAACATCTTAAGTAGAAATAAATGTCTAGAATCTGCCAGTTACTATAAAAGTTTCTTCCTACTCCCAAGAATATTTTAAATTGTTTTGCTAGCCTCATATTTACTTACTTTTCTAACATTTACAAATGGAAAACCGGTATGCTTGGTTTTTCACAATTGCACTATACCTTCACAATCAGAGTCTCAATTCTAGATGTCCTTAAAATTTTAAATCAGAATTAATAGTCCTTAAAATTTTAAATCATAGAACTAATAATCATTTAGTTTGGGTCCACTTTTATGTGATTTCTTGTTCATTTTATACACATATAAGCTGTTTTGTTCTTAGCCACATGATATTAAAATCTCTGCTAGGTCAGTGGACTTAAACTCTTTGAATGGTTAACTTCAGAGTAAGAATATCAGAAAATACATGTATGGTTGTGCAGTCTTGAAGAGAGTTTATGATTGCTGATTTGCTCTCTAAGATTTATTCAGATATTTCCTGACTTACATTTATCTAAACTTCTTTCATCTACCTTGGAAAATGAAGAAGTGTACCTATGAAATGTATCAACAAATGGAGAAAATACTTAAAGAGGGAGTACTATATATCAAGTCACATCAGGCCCTCAGGACACGCGAAAGTATAAAACTGGTCTTTGCCCTAGAGAGATGTTGGTCTAGCTAAGTACATATTTAGATATGGGTCTCTCTAATCATCCCAAAGCCACTGGGACAGGAAGCCATTTAAAAACAACCCTCCTACCAGCCTACCTTTCAGAGCAGGTGGAATGTCTAATGTGGCCACACTGATTGCAGCCACTTCCATAATAACTACCACAACCTTCCCCTCCCTGTGGGATGAGAACTCCTGTGATAGCATGGACCACACCCAATGCCTCTGACTTTAGAAGAGAGATGTTACCCTGGTACATACAATAAAATGATTTAAAATTGATGCTTTATTCATACTAACTGGGGAACTAAGTATTAATGCCATATTTTAGTCTAAAGCTGTAATGGCAAGGCAAAAGTAGAGAGAATGGTAAAAAAAAAAAAAGGAGAAATAGAATAAAAGGTTGAAATATAAAATCAGTGGTTCTTGAGACATTAGGAAACAGGCAAGGCAAGCATATCACAGTCACCAGGAAGCTCTGCATTTCCACCTATTGAGAACCACTACTGCAGAGTAGGAGCAGCCATCCGCGATTCCCTCAGGCGTCAAGGCCTACAGACCAGCAGGATGGGCATCACCGGGGAGCTTGTTTGAAGTGCAGATTCTCAGACCCCACCCAGACCTACTGAGAACTTGCATTTTAACAAGATCCCCAGGTGATTCAAATGCACATTAAAGTTAGAGAAGCAGAAGTGTACAGTACCTATGCCTTGTAGAAAATGATAACCTAAAGGTTATTTTCTTGGCTTTTTAATAAGCTAACATTTTTAATAAAGGTAACATTTATTAAGCACATGTAATCTGCCTTTAAACATTACTTTTATTTAATCCTCACAACATCCCTATGAAATTGTAGCTGCTTAATCCTGTTTACAGATTGGGATACAATCAAATGTGGTAACTGGTCAGTCAAGATTGGAACTTCTGGTTCCTGTGCTCTTCACTGTCACCCCATAGTGTCTGCTCTACCCGAGGCTGCCTGTCTGTTAAGGTTAACTAATTGTTTGAGAATTTATTTGTAATTTAAAGTTATAATTTGAAATCAAATAATTTCCCTCATAGAAAAAATAAGATCTTTTCCATTTTAGTTACAACATTTGCCTGTCATCTTACCTTTAAATGTAATAATGAAGAATTCTAGAAATTCCTTCTTTAGATGGGAACTAAATACTAAAACTGTAACAACCCATTATTTATAACTTTATAACTTAAGATTTGGTACTTCTATTTTTTTGCCCATAACTTACCTAAAATTTACTGTTTTTACCTTTTGGGGTTCTGATGCTACAAAAAAAAAGGTCTCCTTGAATTGAACAAGTTATTCCCTACATACATAAAATGTTCAGCATTCCAACTCAGATTACATAGCACTCGGTTTTTAATGTAAATATTTATCTATAAGCATGGTTTACAAAACTGTAGTTGAATATAGTTACTAACAACTTAGTGTCTAAGCAAATGATGACTTATTTTATTTAAGCCAGTGACTCCCCCAAATGATCCAGTGTCTGAATGATTGATTTCTCATAGTGCATTTAGATTCTCTGAGTGCTGTCAGTGGGATCAGTCTAAATGTCTGTTGACAGGGTCAACCACTGATGTTGGTCAAAAGACAGGTGAGCCTGGGTTCCTGATATGATCATGTTTGAGAGGAGATGAATGTCAAGAGGGCTGAGCAGCCACAATTTTCTCAGTAATAAAGGGACTTCCCTGGGAGACAGAACCTCACCAGCTGTTTAGACCTGGAATGTTAAGCAGCACTAATAGTACAGTGTCTAACGTGTAAGTTATGGCTAAGGGCAGATTCAACCCCAGGGCTGCCCTGATGCCAACTATCAGGGTTCAGAGAGAGCGTAGTGACCAGCAGACACCCTGCACATAGCAGGCAGACTTTCTCAGTGCTGATAAATGATAAAATGCCAGTGATTCTCTCAGGGCCCTTTACAGCCCTGCTGCTCACTTGTGACTGTGACTGAGAATATAATCTGCCCTGGACCTTTTTCTAAACAAATAGAAAAAAATATCACAACATTTCTTCTAGGGAACTTCATACATTTATAATTTTATCATCACATACACTTTTCTTCACTTTTTGACCCAAACTCTTCTTATTAAACCAATTCAAATACATTTTGCATGCTTCTAAATCCACATGGTATACCCCTCGAACAAGAATGTTCTATTAACTCAGTTTTAATAATCTCTTTCAGTTCAAATGATGTCACTTCACATAAAACACATTGTACTATGATGTCTCCCAGCCCTTAACCTTCACACAGTTAATTGCTGCCACTTTATCCAGAATGGAAAATAATCTGATGTGATTCCTATGCAATGATTTCTTAAAAGTGTTCTGGCATTTGATATACTTGGTTAACAGAATGAATTTTTGAGAGAAACACATCTATTCTTTTAAATTCCCATTAGGTTAAGCCATATGATTGAATATTATAGAGTGCTATATATTTATAGAAGTATATATTTAATATACAATTTTTAAATAATTTTATATGTTTAAAAATATTTTAACGACAAGGGAAGATAATCATAAGCAAATAATAATGTGTAAAACATAAATCATGGTGTGATCCTCTGTGTGTGAGTGTGTGTGTGTGTGTGTGTATGAGATTCTTGTCACGGTGACATTATGGTCTTTATTGGGGTCACTGGTATTCTAATAAAAACAGTGTACTTATATCGGCACTGATTTATAACTAAAAATCACTGATATATTTTTTAAATGCCTGAATATTTGAGGAACAGATAAGAAAGACTAGGAAAAATACGTAACAAATCTTACATGATTTTGAGGGTTATTAAGATCAAGGCTAAGATCAGATCAAAGGTGGCTTTTTTTTTTTTTTTTTGCATGTACTTTCAAAATTTCCTACAATGAATCTCTATTACTTCTATACTTCTTTCTTTCTTTCCATGTCTCTTGGAATTTCTATTACTTGCCTTGTAACTGACTCTAGATTTCAGGCCTTAAAAACTATTAACTCTCTAGAGAATGATATGGGCAAATCCAACCCTGAGACTAGTTTTTTTTCTAAGATACACTAGAGCCCAAGTCCACAGAATTCACACCACAGCAGTATTTGGTAGGAGAAATCTTATGGGAAATTTCTCTTGCTATAAAAACAAAGCCACAAGAAATAGGAATAAAAATAGCTCCTTCTAATACCAAAATTATTTTACTTAACAATACTATTGTAAGTTGGTGTACATTGCTATTTAAAAAGTAACCTATATACAGTCTTCTTGAATAACTCTTCAGCTTTAAAAAATTTTCTTACTTAAAAAAGTCCCCCAAAGCTATAAGGAAAAATATTGATGAAGTTGGCACATATAAAACTGTAAATGGTTGAATATAAAATAAAGTCAAAATATAAACAGGAACTCGGGAATGCTGTTGCCACACATTATGTGCAAAATATCAGCACTTTAACGTGAAAAACAATGAACCACCCAATTGAAAAATGAGTGAAGTCCATGACTAGGCAAACTGGTAGAAGACTAACTACAAAAAGTAAGAAAACAAAAAGCTCAACCTCATTAGTAATTCAAGAAATGCAAATCAACCCAAATGTGTGCTTTTCATTTCTCAGACTGAGGAGAAAACTTAAGATCCAATGAAAGCCAGATTTCCAGTATCATAAATTGACATAACCTTTATGGAAGACATCTCATAAGTATCTTTCAAAAACTTAGAGTGTACAATTTGCTTCAACGGTTATGTTTGGAACTTCTTTTGCTAATATATTCATGTAAGTACAAAGATGCATATGTATAAATACGATCATTGAGGCATATTTTTTTAAGAAACCAAAATGGGAAACTGAAAAAAAGAAAAACCTTAAGGCCCATTAATAGGGGGCTACTTAAGTAAATTATCATGTAACAATGCAATGAATGAAATTCGGTATAATCACCAAAACGAATGAGATAGACTTATCTATATTAATGTAGAAAGAAAGTTCTGCTAGCCATATTATTAAGTTTAAAAGAAACTAAAGAGCAGAATAGTGTGATGTGTAAAATGAAAAATCATGGAAGTACACATTTATATGCATGTGTATACATTTTGTGAAGTCTTAGAAGGATACATAAGAACTTATTAGTACTAAGAATCTCTGTGAAGTGGATGATTCAGAGAGACAATTAAAGAGGGCTAGGAGACTGTACTTTCATTTTATGGTCTCCTGGGACTTGATAAGTATACCACCTGCATGTATTATTTCAATAAAAAATAAAAGCAGAAGACATTTTAACAAGTTTTTTTTAAATTATGGTGCAATAACGCCTATATAAGGTTTATAGTAAAAAGAATCATTACTCAAAGTTTAACTGTAGATTCACAAGTAAAAATATATCTATTATTATATTATATTTAGTAGTTATGTCTACATATGGGTGTTAGAATAAGATAGCACTATTTTTCCCCAAAACATTTTTTTCTCCTGTAGTATATATCTACAAGGGCTCAAGGGAAGATGTTGACTATAAACAGGAAAAGGACAAGATCCGCTCACAGACAGCCACTTAATACAACCTAACTCTACATAAGGAAAAGTACGTCCTTGATGTGGATGAGATGGTCTCATTCCCTTGGAGACATTTTTAAGATGTGGTGTTAATGCTTATTCTATAAATTAAAAAAAAGAAATTTCTGACTATATTTAGTGAATCACATTAATCTTTATTTTTACAACTTTAATATGTGTCATCCAAAATATGTCCTTTTTTTATTAAGGTATCATTGATATACAATCTTATGAAGGTTTCACATGAGCAACATTGTGGTTACTGCATTCACCCATATTATTGAGTACCCCCCGACACACCACCACTGTCACTGTCCATCAGCATAGCAGGATGCCACAGAGTCAATACTTGTCTTCTCTGTGCTACACTGTCTTCTCCGTGACCCCCACACACACCATGTGTGCCAATCATAATGCCCCTCAATTCCCTTCTCCCTCCCTCCCCACCCACCCTCCTCTACCCCTTCCCTTTGGTAACCCTTAGTCCCTTCTTGGAGTCTATGAGTCTGCTGCTGTTTTGTTCCTTCAGTTTTGCATTGTTGTTATACTCCACAAATGAGTGAAAATATTTGGTGCTTGTCTTACTCCGCCTGGCTTATTTCACTGAGCATAATACCCTCTAGCTCCATCCATGTTGTTGTAAATGGTAGGATTTGTTTTCTTCTTATGGCTGAATAATAGACCATTATGTATATGTACCACATCTTCTTTATCCATTCATCTACTGATGAACACTTAGGTTATTCCATATCTTGGCTATTGTAAATGGTGCTGCAATAAACATAGGGGTGCATATGTCTTTTTCAAACTGGTACCCTGTTTTCTTTGGATAAATTCCTAGGAGTGGAATTTCTGGGTCAAATGGTATTTCTATTTTTAGTTTTTTGAGGAACCTCCATACTGCTTTCCACAATGGTTGAACTAATGTACATTCCCACCAGCAGTGTAGGAGGGTTCCCCTTTCTTCACATCCTCACCAGCATTTGTTGTTCCTTGTCTTTTGGATGTTGGCCATGCTAACTGGTGTGAGGTGATATCTCATTTGTGGTTTTAATTTGCATTTCCCTGATGATTAGTGATGTGGAGCATCGTTTCTTTGGAGAAGTATCTGTTCAGATCCATTGCCCATTTTTTACATTAATTTTCTTCTCTTTCCAGACTTGATACTTGACAAATCGGTCTAAAATGGCTGACTTTTTATCTGAGTAAGTCACTGAAACCATCCCGGAAGTTCTGCATTCAGGTAAATATCTCACACCTGTAGTACTGTCAGTAGTTTTCTCTAATGTGTCAGCAGTGGTAGTTGTAAAAGGAGCCACACATACCATTTTCTAGTGACAGAAACAAAAAGTGGAAAAGAAATTCCAATCTTACCCTGCCCCTTGCAATATACAGCTTAAGAACATATATATTTATATTATTTTAAATGTAAACAGTGTCAGAATTACCAAGATATTTATGTATGGTTGATAAGCCATGTGAGAGATTTTCAGCCCCTTGGCGAGGATCTCCTTGTGGCTGCGGGTGACTGAACAGTGCTCTCCAGAGTACGTAAGCCTTCCGCAGGGCCAGGGGGAAGTGACTGCTCCCTCCTCAACCACCAAATTAGGAACTCTTAACAAACATCTCCCTCACTCCGATAAGATACAGGACCAGGGGCAATATGGGGCATGCAGTCCAGCCCTCTGCGAGGCATGTGTCCATGGTTACACAGTGGGCATTTGCTGCCCTGAGAACTTGAGAGGGCAGTAGGGCAGGCAAGGGACTGCTCTGCCAGTCCAGCTCCTGCACATGGCCCTGTATGATATTTTTCATAAAGAGACTCCTGAATTTTCCCCAGCTTGAAAGATTTTTTTCTCCTGACAAAAACTCAGCTCAAAGAACAGGCCCTCAAATTCCCAAATTAACAGGGGAGATGCTCCCTAGTCCCTCCAGGGAGAATGAAAAGAGTGGCTTGTCCCCTTCTGAATATGTTGTAATTCCATTTTATCAAAGAAGAAAACAGATAGGAGAGGTAGTGGGTGGGTAGACAGACATTAGAGGTGACTTTACTCCTCTCTGCTCCATTGGCAAGTAGGAAACACTTGCTGGAAGGCACTCCACAGTGTGTTAGGAAACTATTTAGGACTACTTTAATCTGGGAGACAAAAATAGTAACATTCTACAGAGCTCCCTAACCAGAAAGCTTCAGGGATTTTGTTTTTGTTTTTGAGTCTAGTTAAGTTTAGGATGCTAAGCTGTGCATGTTTTCAGCAAAAATCCAGCTCTGGAAAACATTCATTAAAACGTATGTCCTAATTAGGAAGACACTAAGACAGGGAGCTTTATTTTATATCATAAGAATACTGAACAGAAGGAGCTCTTTGTCTGTAATACCCCACCAGTCTTAGCGCAGAAGAAACAGGACAGTAATCCATGGAGGCTCCTGTTGGAAATGATTCTTGGACCAACCTCCCTTCTGTTATTTCGGAAGCTCTTGGTTTTTTACTAACATGCTCACATTTGTATTAAAACTTTCAAAGTAACTGTGACATTCTGTTTGCAAATAACAAAATTTTTACTAACATGCGCACGTTTGTATCAAAACTTTCAAAGTAACTGTGACATTCTGTTTGCAAATAACAAAACACTAAAGAAAACATCTGTGAAATGTTCAACTTCTTCAAAATCTTTAAGTTTCAGATGAATAAGCAAAACATCCTTAATTCCAAGATGTTATTTGTTTCTCAGAGAACCGATGCTACACCATTCAGCCACTAATAGCAACTTTGCCTTTGGTTTCCTCAAAAATAATTCCCAAGGCCTCATCCCAGTCTGTGGACACTACTGAAATACAGAAAGTGTTTTCAGAAGGACCTTCTGATTTTGTAATGTGCCTTTTACCAACTATGACTACAGAACCCTGATCTCATATTGATTTAACCCAGTTATGTATAAATAGCATTATAAAAAAAAAACAAAGCTTGTTTTACAGGACCAAAAGAATTTAGGTTGAAATGTTCTTATGACAAATAAGGAAAACCTGCTTAGGACACTTAAAAGAATAAATAAAGACTATATTTAGTGGCTTCAAAATCTATAGACCTGCACTATCCAGTAGGGTAGCCACGTGCTACATGCGGCCATTCAAATTTAAATATAAATTAATCATAATAAAATGAAATGAAAGTTCGCTTCTTCAGTTGTATTAGTCACATTTCAAGTACTCAATAGACACATGTGGTTAGTGGCTACTCTATGGGATAGCACAGATGTAGAACTTTCCTATCCTCACGGAGGGTCCTACTGAAGAGTACTGCTATAAAAATTATTAATAATGCAGTAGGCTTCCATTACCACTTGGTAAGAAAGCTTTAAGCTCTATTAAATTTATTTGGAAATTTAAAATATTTTTTTATTTTGGTATCATTAATGTACAATTACATAAGCAACATTATGGTTACTAGACTAAAATATTTTTTAAATTCTAATTTCCTCAGTTGTACATTATCTGGTATATAGTTTCCACAGGTCCCTTTCTCTTCTTCCAATTTATTTGCATATTAAAATACACAGAATTAAGTATCTCATGTACTCTTCTAAAGTGAGATGTCTTTGTTTTCTTGAAATTCATGAGAAGAGGTGCACAGTTATACTGAGCTACTACATGGCTGTTGGTCTTTTTTACCTGTATCACTGATATCCCCAAGTAAGCAAAACTAGCAGAAATGTAGGATCATTTTAAATGCCAGTATTTTTTCTTTGTTCTTTATATTCTGTGAGGTTTTATTTTTCCCACAATGATAGATACACCTCAATTGTATTGCCTTAATTAAAGCCAAGTTACATTTTTAAAGAAATTGGGGAGCTAAGCAAAATAAGTATTAGACCACTTATTTTTTTATGGAAATGTACAACATATTGGAAGACTCCACTTTTAGTTCCAAATGATATGTATCACAGATAACAGTAGTTTGTTCTTAATTATTTCATATAATCACCCCATTATAGTATATTCTTAAAGTTCTTAGTCACCATTTTTCTGCTAATATGATCCATTATTAAAATGTCAGCTGCAATTACTTTACAGTCATTTATACCTAGTAGTTCAATTACATTTGTTCCTGGACTAATGGTTTTGTGTTACACAAAGCAAAAAATTAGAAATAGATTTGCCTTTGAGTCATCAAAGCGTCAAGGATTTGAAATAGCTATGTAACTAGCTGTGAGAAAGGCATATGACTCCAGCCAATATTGCCTTTACATATTTAATACTCATTTTCCAAAGAAAGCATAAATAATAGAAGTTTGACCCAGTTTGGAACTGTCAAATATGAATCCTAGAGCCTTACCAATGAAAAAAAAGACAAATTTGTTGGCCATTTGTGGGGTGTTTTTTTCGATAAACAAAAACACCGCCTTCTTTACAGACTAACAAGTTTACTCCAAATAACCTACTTTGTGAACAAGAATTTGTTGTGAATATGGCTGGTAACCATTGTGTATGTTATTAGAGATACAAAATGTTGGGATAAAAACAAAAATGAAAAATTTTAAACCACCACCCTCCCTGCACTCTCACCCCATTTCCAACCTTCGTGTCCCTGCCCTCCTGGTCTGGACCTCCCTCAACTCTGAGCCCAGAGAAGGAGAGGAAGCCCGGGGCTGGGGCGGCCCTGGGTACCTGCTCCAGGTCCGCACCTCCTCTCCCAGTGCCGGGCTGGGTGGGGTGAATAGTTTATTTATGTACCTCTTGCACATTCATCAACCTATGCAACTCTCCCACCCCGGCTCCTGCCAGTTTCTGTGCCTCATTCCCTCCAGCTCCCAAGGCCTTTCCAACCCCTCCAACTAGTCCCGGGAAGTGGGATGGACAGGGGCCGCCTCGTTTGGAATCAACAGGGTGCCCCTCTTAATGGACCCTCACCTCCTCTCAGCCATCCAGCCTGTTCATTAACCATCAGGGTGAGCAGGCCGTGCCTGCCACTGGGAGGTGGTAAGGGGCAACCCCCACACAGTGGGAGGCAAGAATTGCTCCCTTCCCCCCACCTGACAGCAGAATGTGCAGGACCAGGTAGCTCCACTCAAGAGGCAGGACCCTGGCCCTCTCCTGCTCCAGCCCCCACACCATAGTTTCACCCTCCCTTCTATCTCCAGCCCTACTGGCAGAATCAGCTTTGAGTAACTGTACAGTTTCTCGCCATTGCAGAAGACTTATTTATGGAGTTTCCCTTGTTTAATGGTCTGAACTTAAAAAAAATAAATAACATTTTTTATCTACAGAAACATTGTTCCTAGGCTTGAATAGTATAACTGGTTATGCTTAGTGCATAACTGACTGTGTAGGAGACTCAAATTTAAATTAGACTACTGCTAATATTTTAAATCAAAAGAGCTCAGAGAATTAGCATCTAAACTTAGAGGCTCTGTTTTGCTGGCAGGAAGAACTTTAGACTAATACTAAAAATGTCATTCTCCCCCTTCAATTAGTAGTCAATCATCTTAAGACATTTAAGAAGATTTACAGATATGAGTCATTTTTTTTAATTCCAGAAAGGTGTAAGATAACTCAGAAATGTAAAAATAAATAATAAATGTAATAATGCAGTGCAGACCTGGGGGGCAGTAGCTGGTTATCTAGAACTAGGTCTTTGGCACCTTTCCAGCATTTAAACAAATGCTAGGAGTCCCGGGGAAAACAGGTGCAATGTCACACCGCAAGTCCACCAATCAGAAGCAGCCTTCTTTCTCCTCCTCTCATTCAGGCAAGGCCAAAATACTTCTGCACACGGCATGGGCCACACAGAGAGCAAACAGAGCTGCTGCAGATAGAACTAGGCCCTGGGTAAAGGGTGTCTGTTGACCTAGAGCCCGAACCTTGTCTCCTCATTGCTGCTCCCAGGTCAAAGAGGAAGAACAAGGTGGGTGTTCCACTGTCCTTCTAGTGCAGTTAGTGTACAGAGCAGGAGGATAAAGCAACTGTCTTCCTTAACAATGCAAAGCAAGAAGTTCAACCTGCTTTGGCAATATGAAAGCAGTGAAAATTTGAGTCATTAATGACAAAAGCTTCTCATGTGATGTATAAAACACTAATGGGCCAACCATATTGTATTTAAAGCTGTAAATGAATGCCAGCCTTTGTTTTACACAGAGCATGTTTATCTATACACAACTGAGCAAACAGGGAGCATCACACATGGCCCTGAGAGAAGTACTGATCCACAATACATCAGCTTGGTTTGGGGCCACTGAAGTCGGAGTAGG